GCACTCACTCCTTCAGGGCTGGGGTGTGTGCCTGCCTTTAAGTCAGCAGCTATTTTTAGCTTTGCTATATATGGCCAGGGGAGGAATGAGGGCTATAGGAGGGGGAGGGGTGCCAAGAAGCTTACAACAGCCTGCAGGACAGGGAGGGTCTGTGGGGGTGGGATTGACAGGAGCTTTGAAGGAGATGCCAGGCGTGGTCACCTTAGAACAGTGATTTTCAAACTTAATCTGCCATGATCTGAGGTAAGAAATACATTTAACATCACAGCATACACATAAATACAGACATTTAAAACACACATGGGTTATCTTCCTGAGTTGAACAATCATTTCAGAAAATAATACTTTGTCTCTGTGAAATACCCTGTTATTTTCTATTCTGTTCTTTTTTTTTTTTTTTTTTTTCTGAGACAGAATCTCATTATGTCACCCTTGGTACTGTGTCTTCACAGCTCACAGCAACCTCCAACTCTTGGGCTTAAGTGATTCTCTTGCGTCAGCCTCCCAAGTAGCTGGGACTACAGGTGCCCGCCACAATGCCTAGTTATTTTTTTGTTGCAGTTGTCATGGTTGTTTTTAGCTGGCCCAGGCCAGGTTCCAACACTCCAGCCTCAGTGTATGTGGCCAGCGCCCTAACCACTGAGCTACAGGTGCCAAGCCTATCCTATCCTATCCTATTCTATTCTATTCTATTCTATGCTACCCTATGCTACTGTACTCTACTGTATTCTATTCTATTCTACATTACTCTACTGTACTCTATTCTATTCTATTCTGTTCTAATTCTTTAATTTTGAAAAGTGCAGGTCATGACCCACTAAATTGATTTCACCATCCCTTATGTTGGAAAACCTCTGTTTTCTTTGGTTTAGAGTAGAATTTGACTGCAAGAAAAGGTGGGAGAATAAGATGCAAGTTTCAGCTTTCTCTCCTGGCTGGACGGCAAGTGTTGGACTTTCTACCTCTCCACCGGAGTTTTCTCTCCACCTGGAGTACCATCCTCCATCCTTGTCACCTGATAACTTTTGCACCTACTTTCAGAGCTCAGCACCCCACACACTTCAGGAAGCCTCTTTGAACACCTAATTCTCAACTGGTTGCCCACGTTTTGCTCCCTTAGTCCCCCGTCTGCCCCTGCCTAGCACCCAACACTGTCCTGCAGTGCCATTTCTGTTAGATTCTCTGTGAAGGTAGGGCGCTCTTCCAGTCTGTGCATTGCTACACCCCTAGTGTAGCTAGTGCTGGCTTCATTATAATCACTCCAGAAGTATTTATTGGATGAACTAACAATAGTTAATAATCACGAACAGCAACTATCATTTACTAAGATGAGAAACCTTTTGAGAGATTAGGATGGGTCCATTTTATGGATGAGGAAATTAAGGATCAAAGAGATGCAATCACATGGTCAGGCCAGAGCAATAACACAGGGCTACCTGACTCCCAGCTGCTCCTAATCATGGGATCTTATTTATCCACGTTCACTCAGTGCTATCCAGAGGGGAAAGAGCATAGGGTAGATCCCTAACAAACCCTCAGGGGACCGATGACAGGTTGATTAAAGAGATTTTCCAAAGCACTGGCCACATCTAATTTTGGAGAGTTACACTTCATGTGTAGCTCTGGAGAGAGACTCTGTGAGGTTTCCAGGGCCCTGGGATGTGGGGCCATCCCTCATCCAGAAGTCTGAGGCACAGGCTTCCAACAAACCAGAGCAGCAGGTATTCTGGCTACCTGTCCTGGAGAGTTCCTAGGAACACCTGGGACAAACCCAGGGCCTACAAAGCCTTGGTGACCCAGTCCATGCCCATGATAGCAATGTCCACTCTTGCCTGTACCCTTCATTCACTCTGTTCCTACCACCCTGGCCTTCTTGCCATTCCTCAAAGATGCCATGCCCAGCCCTGCCTCAGGGCCTTTGCATTGACATTTGCTTCTGCCTGAAAATCTTTACCTCCTTTCTAGGCCTCCTCATCCTGCTTCTGAAAACATCACCCTCTTCCCTCTCTGTTCAGGTCACTACATATGGGCTTTTTTCCTGATTTATTTCTGTCTTCTCCACTAAACAGAGAGTTCCTTGAGGATCTTGTCTTGCTCAATGCCCCCATCCTTAGATGTGGGGGTAGGAATGAAATGCCATGAAATAGTGCCTGGAACAGAGCAGGTGCTCAGTAATATTGGTTGGGTGAATGAATGAATGGAATGAAAGGTTTTCCTCCCTCCTTTTAGACATATTGGGAGAACAACTCATGGTTTCCCATTTCTTCTCAAATATGGGAAATATGGGTCCCTGTGACTTACATCCAGACCCCCAACACACACACACCCCTTATTTTGGAGACAGAGGGAAGGGAAGGGACATTGGCACATGCCTACAGCATACCACCTGCTACGGGTAACTGATGCCATGTGAACACCCAAGGATCATCTCCATTTTACAGGCAGAGAAACAGAGGCTTGCTCTCTGCTGTGTCCCCAGTGCCTAGCTCACTACCCAGCATAAACATCTGGTGAAATGAACTGCACTGAATTGGAGGGGCTCAGTGAATGGGTCAAAGTCACCAAACTAGCAAGTGGCAGAGCCAGAACTTGTCCTCGGCACTCTTCCCTTCCAGCCAGTGCTATGTAGTGGCCACAGCTGCAGGGACACACCTTATTAACATCCAGACACATTTGAGGCCAAGCCCTCACCCAGACACCTACCAACTGGGAGCTCAGATACGAACCTGTCCTGCACCTGCAGCCGCTCTTGGTGGGTGCAAGGGCCTCAGTGTCAGCAAACCTTGCACTCCCAAGGTAGCTGCTGCCTCCTCCTGCCACACCTGCCTTGTCCCCAGCCTCACCCTCAGCACACTCCCACACTATCCACTTGCTGTCCTCAGTTATAAAGAGGGGAGACTAGTAACAAATATAATATCCCACACATGCCTTCAAATGCCAGATATTTTTTTAATTAGCTGATTTTATCTGTGTCAGTTCCTCTTCCCAGTGCCACACATTGGGAAGACGTCACAGAATTATCCTGAGTCAGAGGAAGCTGAAGGACCATTTAAAGTGGGAGCCAGCCAACTTTTTTTTCTGTAAAGAGTCAGGTAGTAAATATTTTAAGATTTGTGAGGGGGGAATGGGTAGAGGGAGGGGGATTAGACGGATCACTTCTGACATTTATCTTACTAGGGTATAAGTGAATCTTTCTAAGAGTAGAATGTGAACGTTTTAAAATAATAACCAAGAAAATGACATGAAGGCTATGTTAACCAGTTTGATAGAAGTGTTTTGGATTGTGTGTGAAAACCCCACACTGTACCCCAGAAGTGCATTAATGTACATAGTTATCATTCAATTAAAAAAAAAAGATTTGTGGGACAAAAGAAGACAAAATTGAGGCTACTATGTGGGGGGGGGTCCTGTATAATTTCATGTGTCACAAAATACTGTTCTTCCTTTGATTTTCTTCAAACATTTAAAAATATAAAACCACTCTCAGCTCATAAGTGGTACAGAACAGGCAGCAGGCCAGTTTGGCTGATGGTTTACAGTTTTCTAGCCCCTAATTTAAAGCAACACTTTCTTTCTCTTTTTTTAAATTTTTTTGAGATAGAGTTTCACTTTGTCACCCTAGGTAGAGTGCCGTGGTGCCTCAGCTCACATAACCTCAAGCAATTCTCTTGCCTCAGCCTCCCAAGCAGCTGGGACTACAGGCACCAGCCGAAAGGCCTGGCTATTTTTAGAGACGGGGTCTCACTCTTGCTAAGGCTCATCTTGAACTCCTAAGCTTAGACAATCTACTTGCCTCGACCTCCCAGAATGATAGGATTACAGGCATGAGCCATCATACTTTTAAAATTTTAACATGTATTAAAAAAAAACTGCCTGACAAGCTCATTCAAACAGTTTTCTAGGCCCACACTCAGAGACTGATTTAGAAGATGTAGGTGTGGCCCCTGAATTTACATTTCTAACTGGCCTGTCCATGACCACATTTTGAGCACTACCAATATTATAAAGCATCCTATTTTATGGATGAGGAAACTGAGGCCCAGATAAATGATATGTCCAAAGGTACACACAATGGATGAGATAATGACATCTGCTCTGTCACAGCACAGGGCTCTTTTGCCACAAAGAACTCCTCTCCATGTCCTTAACCCACTAATTACTCTCATGTTTCTGAGCCTTTATACACACACCTCTCTCTGGGGGGATGGTTCCCCAATCCTGGCCTCACCAATGCAACTTTCCCACCAAGATCGAGCTCAAGGGTCACCTCCACCAAAGCATTCCCTGACATCCTCAAATCCAAATGCTCCTTCCTGCCACAGCACTATACATATGTGGGTATAATGTGTATAACTGCACGCCTATCTATCACTGAAGCCAGGGACTGTGTGTGTCTTATTCCCTTTTTATATCTAATCTTTTGTTCAATGCCTGACTAATAGGAGGCACCACAGAAATATTTATTGAATGAATGAAGGCATGAATGGATGGTGAATAGATAAGCGGATGGGTGGGTGGGTGGGTAGGTATGTGGATAGATGGATGGGTGGGTAGGTGAGTAGATAGGTTGGTGGAGAGGTAGATGAGTGGGTGGGTGGATGAATGAACACTCTTCACGACCTATTGCTTGAAACTAGACCCCAATGCTGCCAGAGCATAAGCTACAGCCTATTCCGTGGTGTTTGTGTCTCCAACATGCAAACAGGAGTAGTTACATTTTATTGAGCATGTGTTGAGTGTGCAGGCCTTGTATATGGCAGGCCTTGTATCAAGCACTCCTGCTAATCCTCTCAATAACCTCTTTATTGGCCTCAACTTTACGATAAGAAAATGGATGTTCAGAGAGGTAGAACAGCTTGTCGGTAGCCACACAGCAAATCACACCCTAGTCCATGAATGTGCCAACTGCCCCTCACCCCTCCTGCCTCCAGCAATGCTCCCCACCCTCCCTATTCCTTCCCCACCACCCCCCGGCTCCGCAGGCCCCAGGCTGGGCTCACCTCCGTCTGCGTAGGTCTCGGTGCCATAGCCGTCTTGCAGGCCGTTGTTCCAAGTGCCCTCATACTTGGCGCCGCTGCTGGTGCTCTGGCGGACCCCATAGCGTCCCTTGAAGCCGTGTGTCCACTCGCCCTTGTAGAGCCAGCGCCCCTTGGTCTCTATGCCCAGCCCATGCCGTTTGCCTTGGCTCCAGTAGCCCTCGAAGGTGTTTCCGCTGGGCCAGGTGTAGACGCCTGCCACTTCAAAGCCAAAGTTCCAGGAGCCCGAGTATTCGCCCTGGCCCTTGGGGCCGGTGCAGAGTCCGTGACCGTGGGCCTTGCCCCCCTCCCAGCCCCCGCAGTACGCCCCACCATCGTCAAAGTCGAAGCGGCCCCCGCTCATCTCATCATAGCCCCCGACAGCCTCCCGGTCCTCCAGCTTGGGTGCAGAGGGCGCCTCCGGGCTGGGCCCCCAGACTCAGCACCGCGCCCCGGGACGCCGGGAGCAGGATGCCAGCAAAGGCTGACCAAGCCCAGGAGCCGAGTCAGCACCGGGGTGGCTGGTCAGAGCCATGCCCGGGAGCCCCCTTCAGTCAGCCCGAACAAGGCGTCCCACGGCGAAGGGGGCGGGAAGGAAAGACTCCAAGTCCCTGCAAAGTGTCCGGCGTCTGGCTTCCATGGAGTCCAGGGGAAAACTGTGTGATCCCTTTAAACGGCACCGTAAACGGGTGGTGTGGAGGGGGTCCCAGCCGCTTCAAAGGGGGAAGATCCCCTGGTGGACCCCGCCCGAGGCTGGCCCCCTTCTCGGCAGCGGTGGGTGTGCGGGCCTGTCTGTGGCTCCGCCGCTGCCCCGCCCCTTTCCCCAATCCTGCCCTCCTCCCAGGACGGAAAGGTCAGTGTTGCCCTAACAAGGCCATTGGATCTCAGAAGCTGCTCCCAAAATAACCCCCAGGCCAGCCCTGCCTCCTTCAAAGAGCTAAGGAGGGGTATTTCAAATCGGGCGGTGCTGCTGTCCCGTGCCGGCTGGAGAGATGAGGAAGGAGGTTGAGGGCTAAGCACAGGCAGCCCCTGGGACTCGGTATCTGTTCTTCCCAGGGGTGAGAGCTCCCTTGCACCCTGGGTCTCCGGGTTTGCATGCAGGGAGGGCACGGGAGTCCGCAGAGGGAGGAGAGGGGAAGACTCGGAGAACACCCAGTCCTGGAACACTTAAAATCCCCCAGAGCGTAAAGGCTGGCAACTCTCAGCCCCACCACCACTCACATGCCCCAACAGGACCTGGGGCTACAGTGCCATTGCCAGCCCCATCAAGGAATCTGGTGACCTAAAGAGAAAGGAACGGAACAGTTTCACATGTGCTTTTGAAGGCAAAGGAGGAAACTCAGAAAAAAAAAAAAGAGTTCTGGAAATAGTCTGGAAGATACAGCAAATCTGAATCCTGTGCTCACACACAATCCCAAATTCCCTCCACCTCAGGAACGTTGGGAGAACCTTCTGGACAGAGAGAAGCCTGCCCTCCTTGTGGGCTGTGTTGGAAGAGGTCCTCGGAGGAATACTCAAGGATCACAATTCTTTTTTAATTTCCTTTCCAAACTCTCTCTTGCTCTAGTGTCCTTATGAGCCTATGGGGCCAGACTTCAGAAAGTTCTTAGGGTGGGGTCAAGAGCAAAGGTCCTGGGTGGATTCCCAGCACTCAGGTTCCCACCAAACTCAAGTAAAAAGAAAAAATAAGTCCCCACGAGAAGAAGTTGGTGCCTGTGCTAATGACTGTAAATCTCAGCTGAGCCAGGGGTAGCAGGAGTGTAGAGAGACTCTGGGAAAGGTAAAAGCCATCAAGAATAGGAAGCTGGAAGGGAGTGTGAGTATGGTGGTGAGAAATGGGAGTGATCACCAAAAATCAAGCATCAAAGGCAGTAAAGAAAATTAGACTATTATCTGCCTTTAAATTTATCTGACATGTTTCCAAGCCCCATGACGATTTAAGCCACTTAAAAGTCCCTGAAAAGTTTTGTTCTTATTTCAAAAATGGGTAAAAAATGTTCTGTCCTTTCTTCCCAGCTGATTACTTGTTCTCATGACTTGATCCTGACATTGTTCACAGCCCCTGACCTTAGAGAGTCCCTTCTGTGTCTACATTTTGCTACCAGGTACAAACATCCAGCCTCTTAAGTTCACTGTCACTGTCTATTTGCCAGGCTGACAGGCAGCAAATAGTGGATAGAGACTATGGTCTGGAGAGTTGGACTCAGACCTTGGCCAGGTCGACTGACCACTTGTTTGCACAATTCTCTTCTAACACCTTGACACTACCCCCAGAGCATTCTGCTTTACCTCCTCTGGCCACCATCTTTGAAGAATCATGAGTTTCTTTCCAGCTCTGCTGTCAAGGAAAGAGGAAAGAGCATTGCAGACTAGAAGCCAGAGAAATTCAAGTCACCTGCATCCAATACCCCCTACCATTAATGCCTGTTCTCAGGCTAAGTGTCCTACTAAGCTGTTCCATCTACATAAATATATCTACTGTTCATCTGTAGAAGCTACCTATGATGGTTCTCCACCAAGGGTGGGAGCACAGAAGAGTCAGCTAAAGAACTTAAAGACATAAACAGATTCCAAAGGCCTACCCAAGACCTACAGGATTCGATTGTCCTGGGAGAAGACTTGGGCAGTCGCCTTGTTTTACAAGACTCTTCAGATAAATCTGATTCTCATCCCTAATTAAAAACCACTGAAGTCTTCACATTAAGAAACTGCTTATTAATGACATGTATAAATTCATGAATTCTTTTACTTAACTGTTGGGTGTATGGGATGAATAGTTTTGGAGTTAGATATGT